TTTTTTTTACGTAAATATCATTACCTATTGAAATTAGTATTAGAATCTGTGTTGGGGCTAACGGTACCTATATTGTTTAGCGTAACTATTTTTTGCACCAATTTAACTTATTAAGTCTTTAAGTATCAATGTGACTTATGTTCATGTCGATCTACACAATATTCAGCCCGTTAACGCCCAGAAAAATGCCACGTGACCATGGCCTGTGGGTCATAATTTCAAATTTGAGCAATCGTTCATGTAGTTTAGTCTTAAAAAAAATAGCATAATAATAATTTATATAAACTAAAATAAGTATAAAAAAGTATAAATAAATAATTTAGCGTGTCTGTCACTATATAAGCCGCATAATATATTGAGTGTCGATGGCGTCCGTTTCGATCAATAAGAGTCTAAACGAAAATAAATACATTTCATTGCGGTCCGATACGAAGACAGACATCGATGTTCTGTCATCGGAAAATAAATTAGTAAATAAAAAATATTAACTATAAAACAATATTTTAGTGTCGCTTCACAAACAATAATAGCTTTGATAATAATTATATGTGAGCTAGTTCATATATACCGAAGTCTCGTCATACGGATTTCCGGATGGGCAAAAATTGTACTTATCCAGGACTAGTTGGAGGCGAATGCGTTTATCTTGGCTGCACTGTACGGGAACTGATTGGGAGCGTGTCCGTTGACCGAGGACGACGAAGACTCGGAGACGGCCACCGATTCGCTGCCTTCCATCAGCTCGTCAGGCTCGCCGCCCTCGTCCGCATACTCTTGGTTGGTGCGCCTCGACGATGCGTACGTGCCCTCGTAAAGTGGCACCGACTGTTGAATCTGAACCGAAGTGTGCATATGTACCGCCGATTGATCGGTTGGCGACTTTTCCGCGGGTTTTGCCGCATCCGTCACTTGACCCGGTTCATCTGCAGCCACCGCCACGTCGTTGTTGGCCGCCGACTGGGCGATCTGCGCCAGTACGCTAGCTGTCTGTTCGTTGGGTACGGCCGAGTAATACTGGTCCCGGATGCTCTGCAACTTCCTCTGGTCGTGTTCATCGGCATCCGACACAGCTGCAGGCGGCTGTTCGACCGACCCCTTGTCCCCGTTCCTGGGTTCGTAGTCATCTTGTTCCTGCTGGTACTGAACGTCGTTTTCTATTTGCTGCTGTTGTTGCTGCTGCTGTTGTTCTGCCTGTTGCTGTTGTTTTAGTTGCTCGTGTTGCTGCAACTGGGCCTGTTGTTGCTGCGAATACTGCTGCTGCTCCTGCTGTTGCTGTTGCTGCTCCTGTTGCTGTTGTATAAGTTCCTGTTGCTGTTGTTGTTTTTGCGCTGATATTTCCGCAGCCGAAGTCTGCGTGCTGTACTGTTCGGCCGATTGTTGCTGGTACGGCTGCTGCAAGTGGTCGGATTGAACCTGATATTGGATTGCTTGTGGTTGATATTGGACTGCTTGTGGCTGGTATTGGACCGTTTGCGGCTGCAAGTACTGCAGTTCGGCGGCTGCCGGTTGCGCGTACTGCAACTGGACACCCGTGGCTGCAGCCTGYTGTGCGTACTGTAGTTGGACTGGCTGTGCCTGGTACTGGAGTTGGTGGCCGACTTGCAGGTCCAATGGCTGTGGTTGTGGTACAGCGTACATGACAGGTTGCGGTACCATATAAGTGGTCTGCGGTACCACCGCGGCGGCGGCGGCGGCGGCCTGGTTACCGTTTAAAAGCGAGTACAGTTCTTGAGGCGTCAGCGTATCCGTGGAACCGATATTATGCTCGGCTGACAGCTGTTGGTGATGTTGGTTGTTCAAGTGCTGTTGCAGAGCGATGTCCAATGGTACGGCCGGTATTGTGTTGGAGTCTGTGTTGGATGGCACTTTGACCGATGACGGTGTTCCCGAGTTTTGGGCGAAATACGACGGTTGGCTCGGGGTTTCGGTTACCTAAAACACGGTATGCTGTGAGTATCGCTTCTGAATTTCTGATGCAATATAAATAGTGTTAATATATATGTTTTCAACTTAAGTATGATATATAATATTGTCCTTCTCGCTGTACAAATTACTGAGATTAACAAATGTTCATCGTGTTCTTTTTGGCAACGATGAATGTTTTCTCTCACTCGTACTGATTTATTTGTTTGGATTAGATAACAACACATTTTTTTATTCAATATATCTTTATCGATCTATGATCTCAACGAATTAAAAATTTATTAATCGAACGTGAATAAATTGACTAAATAGAAMATTTGGTCAATTGGATAAACTATATTTACCTACTTCATTTTACAGCAATCAATAAACAAAGATCAAATTTTTTATTTATTCTGGAAACAAAATAACTTTTTAATATCAAAATCAATTTAATTTATACTACACTCTATTATTTAGTGGAACTTTTTTCATGCTAAACATTATTTTTATTTTTACTCCAAATTTAACTTTTTAATAATTTTAAAATCCTGTGCTATATCTAAACACCAGTTATAATTTTAAATTTTACTWATCATCTGCACGCTTCATGAAACTTTTATTTTATGATAATATAGATTTCCAGTATAGATTTATTATTATGGTAATAATAAAAATTGAACCAAATTTCCAGCGAAATGCTTAGTTTACCTATAATGGAATAAAAAAAAGTGGTCATTTTTTTAACAGTTATTATAATATTGATTTTCTAATAATATGTTATGTGCATGTCTCGCATGCACTTATGAATGATTTGCTGACTGCCAACAAGTGACATAAAAAATATAATTATAGATACTAWATATACACTTATACGTTGTACGTAAGAATCTACCGATTGTTAAATATTTTACAATCGTTATTTCCTTTCTCTGATTTAATGCCATATTATTATAATGAAACTGACATTATACATTCTATGTTATAAATGCGTTCGACTTAAATTTTGATTTTATTGTTATTATTTCCTCATAATTTGTAATGTTGTCTTTTGAGAGAAAGTAATATTAATATTTTCACGAATGTATTT